AGAAAGATAATCCAATTATCACAAAGCAAATAACACATCCCACAGATCAACGTATCTTTTTTCTTTTTTTCTTTTTTTCTTTCTTTTTTCTTTTTTTCTTTTTTTCTCTTTTTCTCTTTACCTGCCCCCACCTCGGCAGATAGGACAGCTACGGTGAGGATGATGCGGATGTTCACAAGGATGCCCAAGGAGAGCTGCGCCAGCACAGCATTCTGCAGGACGGCTACCACGAACCATCCCATCAAAACAGTCCTGACAGAGGACGTGTTGTCCACAAACAGAACTGCCCGGTAAACCGTAGGCAGAGAGAGAGAAGAGGACAACAAACGAGGGGCTGTGACAAACTGTTTCGTCGGAGTTTCACCGACTCATCAGGAGGTATATACATATTATATATACCACAAAACCAGGAGCGCTGTTCCTTTGCTGGCCACAGGCATCGAACCGTCTTTACCCAGCATTCGACGAAGGCATGCCACTGAATCAACCAAACTCAGTGATGCGTGAGTGTCATCGGTCATACCTGTGTGAACACTTTGTCAAAAGAGTGAGACAATAGGTACTCAAGACACAGAGACAGGGCGAGTGTAGAAATAGGTTACATCATGCTCCAAATGAGGCAGGTCAAATGTCTTAATTTCATGACTCTCACTACGCATGTACACTCAAACGACCGAGCTCTTTATTATGCTCAATAATCAAGAGTGATTAGCAAGCTTTCACTTTCCTTTACAGCGAACAAGTCCATTCTCATTACTCCCATTGTGCAAATAAGAGAAGTTCTTACGTGCTTCATAATCAAGGCTTTTCTTTTCTCCACGACGATCAGTAACTACTGAAACACTTTCCTTGAACCACATCCACTACCTACAGAATCGTTCGTAAGACTTCAAATACTTCCCAGAATTACAAAATTACATTTCGTACGCGACAGTTCATGTTACTCGATCCTAGGCATACCAAACCGCACAGACCGTTAAACGTAAGGACATATAACCTCGCCACAGCCCCTGCACGAGCATATCTGCACCCTAAACCAAACCACACCGGCATCATTCCTCACTCTATCCTCATATTCGACAATTGGAAGAGAACTAACTGAAGCTGACACAAACACATGCCACTCGAAGAAACCACAACGTACTTGTACACTATTTGCCGCATATCACTTGTACCTATTTGAGGCATAACACTTGCCGGAGCACATTCTCTCGGCTTCTCCCCTCTCTCTCTCTCTCTCTCTCTCTCTCTCTCTCTCTCTCTCTCTCTCTCTCTCTCTCTCTCTCTCTCTCTCTCTCCCCCACACACACACATCGCTCCCTCTCTCTCTCCCCACACGCACGTCGATCCCCCTTCCTCTCTCTCTCTCTCTCTCTCTCTCTCTCTCTCTCTCTCTCTCTCTCCCCACTTGCCGGAGCAAATTCTCTCGGCTTCTCCCCTCTCTCTCTCTCCCACACACGTCGCTCCCTCTTCCTCTCTCTCTCTCTCTCTCTCTCTCTCTCTCTCTCTCTCTCTCTCTCTCTCTCTCCCCACACACACGTCTCCTTCTTCACAGGCAAGCGTGTATGGGTACGCTACGTAATCTCACTACCAGTACTTGCTTCCACACACCCTATACGCCCAGCTTGGCCGTCTGCACATTCGCCTTCATCCCGATTCGTAAGCCCCTGACAACTTCTGAAAAGGTAACTAAACTAAGACCAACTTCTACGCTAACTCCGTGAACGCGTGTTGTGGTAACCACAGCAACAGCCTAAACAACACACTAACGTTACTGTATCAAGTGGTCCGTCTCTCTCTCTCTCTCTCTCTCTCTCTCTATCTATCTATCTATCTATCTCTCTGTGTGTGTCCGTCTGTATCCACTAGTCCACGCGTCGAACATACGCACAGCTCTCTCTCTCTGTGTGTGTCCGTCTGTATCCACTAGTCCACGCGTCGAACATACGCACAGCTCTCTCTCTCTCTCACCTCTCTCTCTCTCTCACACACACACACACACACACACACAAAACACTCAGTCTCTCACGGACACAAACCCTCGTTTTTTCATTAGACATTCGTTTTCGTTTCCAGTCCTCCCTCTTCCTCACCCCCGCCATATTCTTGCAGCAAGGCAAACTTCTTCAGACAGTCCCCTACCGAATAGCTTTACACACGATTTCAACTCGTGCCACTCAAGCAAACAGAAAGAACACGTCACAGAAAACATACTAGTAAATAACCAGAGACAGCTTGCGCATACGGAGAAAGACTAAACTGGAGGCCAACAGAATCAATTGAAAAGATTGCCCATTCGAAGACAGACTAGACTCGAGGTGAACAGAATCAATCAGGAGAAACGGATGAGCAACATCACACAAGCTAGAGGTTCATTCATCAAACCCCTGCTGTCCTTTATTAGTCTCAATAAAGAAGACCGTTGTAAGGATCTGCATCTCCAGCACTGACGACCACCGATGCCCCACACACGTCTCTGAAATTATTCGACAGAGTTAAACAATGACCACTCCCCAGGGAAGACAACCTCGTCTTAACCCCGAAAAACAACGAAAAACAGGCGTCGACAACCTCGTCTTAACCCCGCCTTCTCCCAACTCTCCTCAGTCAGACTGTCAGGAGGGTCACCTGAAAAGCTTGGCAGGTTAACAACGGCTCCTTGAAAAAAAAATCACTTCACACCCACGTCTCCAATCGAAAGCAGCGGAGAACACCCTTCTGGACATGCCGAGAGAGAGAAGCTATCTAAGATCCGAAGCAACAGACCCTGCGAACGAGTCTCGCACATCCTTTCCCCAAACAGATCCAACATACATCTCCGCGTTGAAAAAATGGCAAGAAGCTCGGACTAGACAAAAGACATCGATTCCACAGGGAAAGCACGCGCTCCCGCCGGTCACAAAGGAACGACCCACTTCCAATTGCAGCGAAACAATCAGGAGACAAACCAGCGGGGCGAGGCACAGAAAGTCACGGAACCTGTTGGAGTAGAGTCAAGGAAGAGCTGTGTTGCAGACAAACTTCGCTCCGACACGCGCACGACATAAAGGGGAAGGAGTCGCAAGAGCTGTGCTCCCACAACGTAGATCAGCTCCAACGACGCAGATCAGCTCCAACGACGTAGATCAGCTCCAACGACGTAGATCAGACGGAAACGGACAAAAGGCGGGATCCCCCCAGTAGTTTCGACTGTACGTAACTGAAGCCTCTGCCTGCTGCGTTCCTACCGTTGATTACTGTACGTAACTGAAGCCTCTGCTGCGTTCCTACCGTTGATTAGTCATAATCCGGATTTAAACATGACCGACGGCAGAGGGAAGACCCGCTGCAGCCGGTCCCAAAAACGACAAGAAACCGCCCGATGGCTCCTGACCCTCCGAGAAGAGCTCATCCGGTTGTCTGAACGCTGCGTGAACGACGATGCCCAGACTCGCCAGAGAGACAGCTGTCAACAAGACGTAACCTACGGACGTGAAGACGAAGACGACCAACAGAGAGAAAACGACCATTCCAAAGAACAACTCATTCTCGCTCAGAGTCCTCCCTCCCAGGGTCAATGGTTCCGATCGCACCATGAACAGCCAGCCCCAAAGAAGACCGAGAAAGAAGAGGTACACGAGCGAAGACACGTTCCACAGCATACTCAAGATGACAAAGGCGACAACACATATGGCATAGTTGACTTTGAAGTAACTTATGTTCTTCCGCACACGTGAAGTTGCTTCGCTAACGGCATCAAACCTGGAGAAAGAAGTGCGGTCCACCATCTCCGACCATGGACGGCTCTGATGAAAAGCGAACTTCACTGAATCCGTCACTTTCGACAATAACGCGGCGGCTCCCGACGAGGCATCCACCTGCCCCGTCGACGACGGTGGCCCCACCGTCGAAGTCGGTAGCGGGGAAGCCATAGCTGCCACGTCCGGCGAGGGAACACTTGCTGCCACACGGCTTTGGCGACTCGGTTATCACTCCTCGCTCCTCGTACGACTGACAGTCCACGTCAACCTGACCCCCAGGGAATGACGGGGTACTCACGAATACGACGTCAATAGAGATGAATGTATGTGCGGACGAAGAAGACAAGATCGAGAAATGGAACACAATGACGGAGAACCGCAAAGAAAGACTGGTCTTTCCCTTCGTCTCCTAAGCTGGAATGGCTGCTCGCAAAGTACGTAGGGAAGATAGGTTTTTTCCTTCCCGCGCAAAATAGCTGCTCTACCGGTAGCGCGAGCAGGGGCGCAAACGCGGAAGAGGCCTACCGGTCGCTACCGGTAGCACTTCTCACATCAGTCCGGGGACAAGGTCCCACTTGCGCAATTTAGGAGATTTCGGCCGTTGATCTTTGCTATCTACGGTCAGTATCTCTTAATTCGTACAAGTGGGACCTAGCCCCGGTCCAGGGGATGGGTCCCACCTCCGCGTTATCGTGGTAGCTACCCACCTCGGTGCGACGCCTCTCGCGCGGTTAGGGTTATTTTTCGGGAAGTGCGTTGGCCGCCCGGACGTCTTTTCTGCCTTGGTACCAAAGCCTGTTCCATTCCACCTCTGCTTTCGTTCCACGTCTGCTTTCCTGTGACCATTCGGAGCCAATCGAAGATGCAGGAGTCCCTACCCTCTGGACGACCTTGGGCCGGGACGGTTTCTGCGCCTCAGACGGGGGCGGTTGCGCCCAGGTTTCTTCAGCCCTCTTTTTTTCTTTTTTTTTATGTGTGTGTATGTGCTTTGGAGCCTCGCCACAGAAGTGTCGAAACCATGAAATATTCGCCAAGTGTCGAACGTCGAAACCGTGAAATATTTGCCAAGTGTCGAAACCGTGAAATATTCGCCGGCTGTCAGACCATTTTCAACATTCACGGTTTCGACACCCTATGTCGAGGCAGCAACAGTACCCCGACCCTGGCCGGTGTCAAAATCCGCACATCCTTCACAACCTCCCTTCGGAGAGGTTGAAACTTGACAAGGCCATTTGCCAGTGAACACTGGTCCTGTGGCCGAAAAGCCGGTCCCCCGGGGGGGTCGGTCGACGGGCGCCCAGTAGCGCTCCGCAATGCACTGTTGTCGGCAGTAGCGTCACTTCCCTTCTACACAGTAGGGAAGTGAGGCAGCCACCACCTCGCATCATCCGTCGACACCAACCATAGCCAGGTGCATGGGAGGTATAGGGGCCAGCAAGGAGTCTCTGTGGGAGGGATGGAAACCTATGTGAATTCATGAGAATTGACGAGCGCTCTTGAGCGCCCGTCCAGTAACTCCTTGGCGTTTTGGAATTATCTTGAGAAGCTCAAGCTATGGTTGACACCTAATTCGTGCAGACGAAGACTCAGCCCACAGGGTACAGCGCAACACTTACTGGAGTTGTCTCAGTGGATTGAGCACCGAAGGTCCGAACTTATGCGTACGTGACTTTGGCGAGTCTGACTCGCTAGCGGGACGCGTTAGTCCTTGTAATTGCCAAAGGAGATAGACTTCAATCATGAAGTCAAGGACCGCACGAGGCCAGAGTTAAGTAACGGGTGCGAGAGGAATAGGCTCGTTCAAGAGCGACTGCTGGAATCTCAGGGATTTTAAGAAGAGTGACGGTATAACTTTATTATCACTCCTCTTCATTGTTCAGCTGCATGCACCCCCTTTTGTTCAGTTATTTGAGCCTCACACTCGCGAACTCTGATTTATGATTAATCGTTTGGGAATAACAACACTTATTTGGGGCGTCTTACTAACAAATTAGGGATGGCGTCTACATCTTTCTCAGAGGAGGAACGTGTTAGGCAGGTGGTGGAAAAATGTATCGAGGATGAAGTATTTCCGGAAGGATTAGATCACAGTACTTGCGTTGTGGACAGTCGGTCGCCCACAATCACCTTGCATCCGAAAATAGACGATGTTGTCGTCAAGTGGTTAAAAGAGAGAACGGTTGTGATTATTTTCCAAACCGAGTCCAAAGCATTACCTAATAAAACTAAGGAGATGCTGATTCGTATTTATGAGGATGGTTGGTGCGCCAATCCGGCAGTGAACCCATCGCTTAAAAGATGGAGGGTCAAGTACGAGGTTACGAATGCCTTCTCTTATGTTGCGCCCACCAAAGAAATTGTTGAGTTTATGAAAAACAATGGTACGAACACAATTGTGTTCAGGGACCCCAATGCCTCTGGGAGTCCAGACATCCGCTATTCGGTTCAATTTCGCAAATGGGCTACTAAGAAGGAATTAGAAGATCGCAGAGCCCATGAAGCTACAGGAAAAGTTTGGGTCATGGCCACTAGAGTTTCTCTTCGGGCCATGTTCCACCTTCACTAGGCTGTCAAAAATTTCCATGGCCACAATTCTTAAGATGTTCCCTCCCCAAAAGATAATCACTTCCCACGTTTGATGAACGTTAAGATGGACTTAGCTCTAAAAGTCAGACAGACATGGAAGGAGAAGTTGGGATTTCAAAAGGATGGGGAAGAATTTAAACTCGAGTTTGTCTCTCAAGCGACTGATTGGTGTAAGCCTGAGAAATGTAAGTGGTTATACCACACGGAGGACTCCCCACCACCCTCAGCATTACGTTGCACAAGTTGCTTCACTTGCGGCCAGTTCGGGTCCAACGCAAAGACAGAAGGGTCAACAAACTGCAGACCCTTCTTGAACTACAACGAGACCTCCTCCGCCGATTCACACAACTCATCGGATTCCTCCCATCTTCCAGCAGTTTCGTCCCTTGGCAGCCCCGACACAACCAATTCAACCCGCGGGTAATTACTCGTCCGCGCACCCTTTGCAGAACTCATGTATTCCACCACCAACAACCCAGGTACCAGGGGTTGGGCCCCCTTTAGGGCCCTTCCATACACACGTTGCGTTCCAACAATCGCAGCTACAGTCTCAAATTCCCCCACCGATCTTCTCGATAGGCCACACTGGACCAACCACTTTTGTGTTTCCAGGATTTGGGATTCAAACGGGACCAGGATTGTTCGACGAGAAGTTTGCCATGTCAGGATCGGTTTTCGCAGCAGGCTCCTCGTCTTTTAGTGGAAGTTAGAACAACCCAGTATTCGAACTTGAACCACCACCGCCGAGAGTTTCATCCTCCCCAGTAACAGTGGGAGAACCGTCACCCCCCTGAGGGGGGAGTGGCACATAAGCGGGGAGCAGTGTCGGTGCGAATACCCTTACCGTGATAAGGGTATTCGCCCTCGTTTTCGCGAACGACAAAAGATAAGTTTGGTTTAAAGTTGAAGTATACCACACGAGGCGCGGCTGTGTATGTGGTTTACGTTGACTAAATGGTTAACTAGAAATACAAAATGTGTGGGCGCGCAGTTTTAAGGCGCGCGTGATCTCTTTCTTGTTGGTGATTGAAGAGTCGGTGTTGTCGCTGGCCAAATATTTAGTTATGATTAAACTAGGGTTAGAAAGATTTTGTCTTTTGATTCATGCGTTTGCCTGTGACTTGTGCGTACGTGCGAAGGGCGGCATCGATAACAATTTTTGAAACTTTTCAGTAAATTCGCGCGCCGCGCAATATCTATTTATTTAGGTGTCAATCAATACTAGATTCAACCTTGGGCCTATTACTATTGGTTACAATGTCGGACTTCTATTCGGGAGATTCAGGGATTAAGGCCAATGGTGACAATATAAGAATATTGGTGCGGCGCAAAGGGACCGAGGGGTTGAGGGCCCGATGGGGCTATCCCCCTTGGTTTTGTCGTCGGTGGCGTCGGAACGGTAGTAGTGGCTTATTTTTCCTTGTTCGCCATATTCTACTGATTAAAAGTTTTTAAATAATGTATTATTTAGAGTCGTGTTATTACCGTTTTATGCGTCTACGTTTCTTAACTCAGATGCAGCGCCAGATTTAGAGGTCGTCACAGCAGTCGAGGACCTTGAGTGCGCGCCTCCTAAATTTGACCCATGCGTTTCTACATATTTGGGGTACTGACGAAATTCCTCTATCCTGACTGTCTTGAAACAAAGACCGAAAAAGTCAATGTGTGTAAGAGTGGTGAGGTCTGTGGTGGCGATTTCCCTCATTTCCCACTTGGAGAGTGTCGATAGCCTAAAGTAAAAGGGAATTGGAGAACATTTCGAGCGGACTTGTATTGCTGCAGACTGGGGATAGTAGGGGGACGCATGCGGGGATGCGGCCCACCACCCACCGTTTATTGTAAAAAAATTGAGTGTGTGTATGCTCGTTAAGACCCGAAAAGAGGTGCGCAGTGCGGGGGCAGAGTGGCCCGGGGCACTGTGGGAAGGCCGTTGCAGCAGTTGCTCAACTGCAGAACCCTTTCCCCACTTTAGTCTTCAAAGTCCTCACTTGAATATTTGCTACTATCACCAAGATCTGCACCGGGGCCTGCTTCACCAAGGCTCACGCTACGGGTTTGCAGCAGGTCCGCGCCCTCGATCTCGCGATCTGTTGTGAGAGGATAGACAATGTATGTCGTTGGGGGCCCGAAAGGGAGTGGGCTCTGCTCGGGCAGAGCGATCGAAACTGCAGTGCAAATCGGTTGTCGGGCTTGGGTATAGGGGTGAAAGACTAATCGGACCATCTTGTAGCTACCTCTCCTCGAAGTTTTCCCTCAGGCTAGTCGAGAAGCAGTCGAGGAGGCCGCTGCAATAGCGATGTGCGAATCGTCTGTTGATTTCGGGCATAGGGGCGAAAGGCTAAGTGAATCAGTCAATGACCGACTTCTGTTCACAAATTGCTCTCCGTAGTGGACGAGGTCATTGGGTACTTGCGGTGCAGACGAGAGAGTGAGTTGGGTAAGTATCGTTGACATCAATGCGAGGTCCAGAGACGAAGTCGGAGATAACGAGTAGGGAAGGGCAAACCGGGACGTCAAGGTGCGTCAGGTACGCGCAGGAACGGAGCCAGAGGTGGTAAAAGTGACGAAAATGAGTAGAGCGCAATGGAAAGGAAAGAGCTCGTGCGAGCCTTAAAGGTATCAGGCGTGGGACGAGCCAGGATAAGGGTTCCTTGATGAGGCGAAATAATTGCTGAGATCGGACTGGCAAGAAAGTCAGCGGAGGCAGAGGTTAGCAGAGATGTAGTGTGCGGTAGTGCAGTGGTGGTGAAGATTAGCGGGAGCGTTGCGAAGTAAAAAAAGTTACACTTAGTCTGTTCCATCATGAAATCGAGCAGAGTAAGAGCCTAAAACGGGGTTTTGGACGCAGGTGAATCGAAACCCATTGTTAGTGTTAGTGGAGAGATAGTGGATAGAGAGTTGGAAAGAAGAGGTACT